TGAGGAATGAAGTCATGTCATTATATAAATTGAATCATGAGTCCTTTCAAGCATCACAAATACAGAAAAATGTAAAATAACAATTGTGCATATTGACATCAAAAACTTCTAATAGAAGGGGTATGCATGAAGATGGGCTCTTTTTTAGCATTAGCAGCAGGTTCTTTTCTGTAGTTTTGACAATCTATACATAACGTTCCTTGTTTCTTTTGGCCCCCAGGATTATTTCAAAGGTTTAGTTTTAATTTTCTAATAAGCAGATCATTCTTTTAGTGAAGAGAATACTTATTTTAAAAGGGCGAGAAAGCCCCAAAGGCTTTAATTATAAATTCTGGATGTCAGAAGGACTTCAAAATTGTACTTAACATTAAATCTTTGAGGAGATACAATAGGTTTTTTGTTGGCTTTTAATACTTGACTAAAGACAGGTCAACATCTGAGCTAAAACCAGGAGTCAGATAAAGGGCCAAATGATTGTTATAGAAAAATGAGCTTCTAGTCCTTTTTCTTCAAGGCTATTATATCAAATGGGTTGATTGTGACATGAAAGAGACTTGCTTGATTTGAAAATTTGTATAATATGAATACACTTTTATGGTTCTGTTCTTTTAAAGGAGGTTTATTTTATCTATAAGTAGAATTTGTATCTATTATATTGTTATATTACCTTTGCATTATAAATTAAGAAATGAAATTAATTGATTATTTTACTTTTATTTTAATTCATGTTGCATTTTTTAATGAGAAAGAAATAGTTTCCAAACAGATTAAATTCTTTAGGATTTAATGTTACCTTCTGGGTTCTATTTAGTAAAAATTTTAAATCAGTAGTATATTTTTGCTATTGAGCTGTTTGTGTGTTTAACAGTTCGAACCATTCTAGTAGAAGTCTACATAGTATAACAGTTTGATTACTTTTATCATTTTAGTAGATTCATGTCACAAGAATTCAAGGTGGTTTCTTTCCGTCTACTTTGCTATGTTCAGATCTGTAATTATAAATGCTATTTTAATGAAATCAGTAATTGTAAAGGGTAGCATTGGTTTCTTTATTTTTTCTTTTATTGATAATATCAACTCTTACCAGCTTCTATAAACCAAAAGTCTAGAAAGTTTTTGAGATGGTTGTTAATTAAAGGAAAGAACGAGATGGTGAAGGGATTTGCAGGAATACTTGAAGTAAAACCACTTGCCTTCGAATTGATTCTGACTTCTAGTGAGCCCCTTTATGTCAGTTGGGTTTTCAATGACTGCTTTTATTGGAAGAAGATTGCTACGCCTTTCTTCCAAGGCAACACTGGGTGGACTTGAACCTTTAATCTTTCAATTAGCAACAGAGTGCATTAACCATGTGCACCATCCAGGAATTCCATAATGGGGGTACAGCAGAGCTGTTTAGTTCAAGCATTTATTTAGAATTATTTAGTTCAAGTTTGCAAGACAAGAAGCCAGAATCAGTGGTAAGTAGTTGGAGAAGGGTAGAAGGGTTAAGACAGATTACAGAAGAAACAGAACGAGGTCTGAATTAAATTAGTAAACAAAAGAGTTTTAATTATACCTACTCTTATTTAAAAAGATGAATGCACAAAGGCTAATGTAAGGAATGGAACTATGGGCTGATACTTTATAATGTAGGTGTATAGACTATTTAAGAGCTATGTTTTGATTTCAGAATATTATAGTAACCTTTTGATTTGTATGTGTGAACCTATAAATATTTTAAAGTAAAATGATCACCAAGGGACTAAGCCACTTGTACTTAAACTTATTTTGAGTTGGAATTATAAAAAATAATTATAATTCACATTGAATATTTTTAGTGGCTTCTCATGAAATTGGAGTTCTGGTGTGGTACTGTGGGTTAATGCACCAGACTGCAAAGGTGATTGAACTGCGTGGTTGGTGGATCAAGCTCACCAACTGCTCCTCGGAAACCCAATACAGGGTTGCTATGGGTTGGAACCAACTTGCTGGCACTTAACAACAACAAC